AAAAAAAAAAAAAAAAAAAAAAAAAAAAAAAAAACCTGTTCACCTCTGTTCACTTAGTTATGGGTTTTGTTGGTTGTTCAAATAAGGTTAAAACCAAGAATGATCCTCTAAATCTGGAATGTGGCAGTCATTGGTGATCTTGAGGGGAGCAGTTTTGTTGGGGACGGTGTAAAATTACATTGTCACCTATTAAACAGAATGCAAGCAGGCTAATTGGAGACAGTAGAAATGAGCTGTCCTTTCATTGAACAAAGCTGTAACGTCAAGGAGAGGTTTGGGAGCAATAAAAGAAAAGTGAAGAGGCATATAGGACTTGCTTTGGTTTGCTTTCTTTTGTGTTGTTTAGATGGGAAACTACCATGCAGAAGGAAAACATTAAAATGAGAGGATAGGCTGGGCGTGGTGGCTCACACCTGTAATCCCAGCACTTTGGGAGGCTGAAATGGACAGATCACCTGAGGTCAGGGGTTCAAGACCAGCCTGGCCAAAATAGTGAAACCTGTCTCTACAGGTGCCTATGATCCCAGCTACTCAGGAGGCTGAGGAAGGAGAATCACTTGAACCCAGGAGGCAGAGATTGCAGTGAGTAGAGATCATACCATTGCACTCCAGCCTGAAAGACAAGAGCAAAACTTCTTCCCCTCACCCCCCAAAAAGGACAGGATATCAATGAGGAAAGCCAGGAAAGATTTCTGAGTGCAAAAAGAGGTGGCTTCCAGTGCACATTTAGATGTGTATCTGTCTAGTTATATTATTAAAACTATTCCTATACAATTAACCTTGTTTGATTACCTTGTTAATTCCTATTTCAAGAGACTGCTCTTTCTTCTTTTTATTTTTACTTTTACTTGGGGTTCAGGGGATATGAGTGAAGATTTGTTACATGGGTAAATCGTGCATCCCTGAAGCTTGGTATATGATTCATTCTGTCACCAAGTAGTGAGCATAGTAACTGATAGATAGCCTTTTAACCTCCACCTCCAAATCCCTCTCTGTACTTAGATAGGAGAAATAAACCATTGTATTACTTTTTACCTAAGTACAATAAAGTTGTTAAAAATAATAAGAGGAAAGTAAAATGTATAGACACATGCAGGAATTCTGGTTAATAAGATTAATATACTAAAAAAGCTTGTATAAAATCTCGTCTGCTTAATTTTTCTTCAATGAAATAGGGAGCAAGAACAAAGCTGAGAATGAGAGTAAGGAGGTTTGAGGATGGAGGATGAAGTATGAGTCAGTGGTTAAGAAGCGTGGAAGAGTAAATGGCCTAGAGCAATGTAGCACCATGTGGACCAGCCTAGAGACCCTCCTGAGATGAGTGATAAATGAGAAAAGTCAGTGTAATGGGAAGGTCATGGGAGGCTCTGTTCACCTGTGCAGGGTGGGCTCCTAGTATTAGAGAGTTTCATTAGACAGGCCTGTGGTTCAACAAAAAAAGCACAATAAATAATAAAAGGGCAAAAAGTTGAGGGAAAAAGGGGAGATTACAATTGTGATTCGTAGAAGTTAAGCTTGGAATGGAGAGAAGTGAGGATATGAAGTGCTGAGTCACACAAAGATGTCATAGACTCAGTGGATTTTGTCCTTCGGTGTCAAAGATTTTAAAAAGATAAGCTAGACAGTAAGAATTAGAGAGGTAGTTAGTCTTTGCCAGAGCTTATGTTTATTTTGAAGTCAACATTCTTCAATTTGACCAGAGAGAAACAGACAAATAGAATTTTAAAATACAAATAAAAGGATATTTATTATGAAGAAAATGTTGGAAAACAGATAGACTAGATAGACAGGAACATAGATAGACACAAACTAGGTAACAGAATTCTACAACCCTCATTATAATTTTATTGAATCTTCAAATTTCAAAGAACAATAACAGCCATATAGTTTGTTTCAGCATAGCCTCTCTGCCTTGGGTCTCTGAAAGACCAGGTGCCTGCCAAATGATGGGGCAGTTGCCAATTTGATTCTGAAGCTGTAGGAATAGAACTGGATTCTGACAAAGGAATTATATTCTCATTTTCACTGAGTCTCTGAGATGCCCTCTCCAATACATATTCTGTGATAGCAATAGACACAGTAATCTATGAAAGAAGAGACCTGTAGTAGAGGGTATCAGAATGCAGACAGTGAAAGAGATTCAACTAGAACACATTTAAGCACTACATTATTGATGGCTTTTGGCAAGGAAAGTTAAAGTGTGATTGTGTTGCCGTTTAAAACTCTGAGTTTCAGATGTAAGGCAAAAGTGAACAGTCCTGGTTTACAAGGAGATTAAACATTTTGCTCTTCTCTTGAGAAATAAAGGAATTGGATATTTTATTTTGACCGAAGATGAAAAGGAAAATGTATTATGCTTTTTTTTTAATTAATAGTTGAGTCAGTTAAGCTTTTTTATTCCTATTTAAAATCCTCATTAAAAGTGATTTGACAGACCTAGGAACAAATTTGTGACATTAAAATAAATGTTATAATACAGTATATTTTAAAAAATAACATCTAAGTCAATATTTGTGTTTCTAATCTTGTAAAAAGAACAAATCATAAAAGAAGACATAATTTCTACTTTATTAATGTTAGGATTTCAATTCTTACTTATAGCACTACAACTGTTAATTCCCAAGGTATGTTGGTTACTGTCAATTGGCATCATAGTTGCTGTTGTCAGGAGGACAATTACTGTAATAAAAATTTTTACTGTGATGGGGAACATTTTTCTTTTGAAATAGTGTGTCATGAGAAGATACTATTTCAATTTGCTATCCTCAGCCTTAGGGAAAAATGAAATCTCACATTATAGTATGAAAATGCTTTCCAAGCATTGTCTTTGATATAAACATCCTTGTGTTTTAGAGTGTTATCTTTGATCTATTTTGACACAGTGAATTGACTACAGGCGAGAATTTTGGCTTCTAACGCATTCATTATACTCTTAGGTGGCTTTATAACTTAGGAAGCTTCGGATTTAGCAGACTTGGCTTGGCTTCAAATTAGATTTTACCTCATGCTACCCATGTGCATGAAACCAATGCTTGCTCACAGTTTCATCACCTCTCCCTTCTTTCCATGGGAGACTCAATTCCCAGTGTCCTTGCTGTCGAGCAGGGCTGCGTGAGGATGAGCTAGGAAGAGAAGGCATGTTATTTTCAGGATAAACCACTTAATCGCTGATGACATCTCCTGTCTATCTCTTTGTCCTTGCTGTCACCATGCTGGAAGAGATTCAAGGTGAAGATGCACGAGGAGTAGATGGAAAAGAATTGTCAAAATGTGCCCCCCAGATCGGCAGAAGATATTGCATAAGTGAAAACTAAAACTCCTGTTAATCCACCAGGAAATGTGGGCTTATTTGTTACCCAGACCAACTCATATTAACTACGTGACTTGAGGAAATCATTTAACCTCCCTCAATAGTAGTTTTCCCTTCTGTAAATAAAAAGCTATGAAACACAGATACGTGAAATATAAACAAGTTTATTTTCTGTTCATTGAAAGGATTAGATAACTATGGAAAGACAACTGATGTGGAGTTTATTGTTTTTTTTGTTTTTTTTTTTTTTTTTTTTTTTTTTTGAGATGGAGTTTCGCTCTTGTTGCCCAGGCTGGAGTGCAATGGCGCGATCTCGGCTCACCGCAACCTCCGCCTCCTGGGTTCAGGCACTTCTCCTGCCTCAGCCTCCTGAGTAGCTGGGATTACAGGCACATGCTACCATGCCCAGCTGATTTTTTGTATTTTTAGTAGAGACGGGGTTTCACCATGTTGACCAGGATGGTCTCAATCTGTTGACCTCGTGATCCACCCGCCTCGGCCTCCCAAAGTGCTGGGATTACAGACGTGAGCCACCGCGCCCAGCAAGTCTATTGTTTTTAATTGTTAATTTATTATTTTAATTTTATTGTTTATTCATTTGAAGACAACCAGCATGGAGCTTAGTCCCTTAAGACTTACCAGGCATTCTATGAACACAAAATCAATGGAATTCCATATTTAATATTTAATAGTAAATATTTTAATTAATTAGTTTCCTTTTGGTTTTGAAGATAAATATTTGATCTTTATAATAAACCTCATGTCTTTATATTAGTAAACCAAAGACCAAGTGTCTGTTGGAAAACTAAAGTCTAAAAACTTCCTATCCAGATACAGAAACACTAAGGTAAGTAAGGCCCGGAATTACGAATTTAACATAATTAAAAGTGAAATAATTTTATTTTTTTCTTTCTTTCTTTTAAAAAAAAATAGATTTTTGGGGAACAGGTGGTATTGGGTTACAGAGATCAGCTGTTTAGTGGTAATTTCTGAGATTTTGGTGCACCTGTCACCCAAGCAGTGTACACTGTACCCGTGTATAGTCATTTATCCTTCACCACCATCCCCCTATACCAAGTTCTCAAAGCTTATTGTATCATTCTTATGCCTTTGCATCCTTATAGCTTAGCTCCCACTTATGAGTAAGAGCATTCAATGTTTGTTTGGTTTTCCATTCCTGAGTGGCTTTTCTTATTTTGATTTTTTTGAGACCAAGTCTCACTCTGTTGCCCAGGCTGGAGTGCAGTGGTGTGATCTCGGCTTACTGCCACCTCTGCCTGCCAAGTTCAAGGGATTCTCATGCCTCAACCTACCGAGTAGCTGAGACTACAAGCATGAGCCACCACACCAGACTAATTTTTGTATTTTTAGTAGAGATGGGTTTCACCATGCTGGCCAAGCTCCTCTCAAACTCCTGACCTCAGATCATCCACCTGCCCTGGCCTCTCAAAGTGCTGGAATTACAGGTGTGAGCCACCATGGTTGGCCCCTGAGTTACTTCTAAAAGTGAAGTAATTTTAACTTTAGAAAAGAGGATCATGTCATAGTAAAAATAATAAGCTTTTCATATAAATAATTTCTAAACTAAAGGAAT